TATATATCTTACAAAGGAAATAGAGAGGGGGAGAGAGAGAGAAGGGGTGAGAGAGATCCTTGGATGACCATCAACTAACTAAAAACCGATTTATTATTTATATTGTAATTCTCCCTCTACCCCTCTGAGAGGTAAGGAAAAGTATTTTGTTCCTTAGGGATCAAACCTGTTTTCCTGTACTTTGTTTTTGCTTGTGTTTTATTTTTAACAGAGTATGCAACGATTTTTTAGTTTTACCAGAATTGCATGCATCAGAGTGGCAGCGGGAAAGTGAAATCATGCCCTAGAAGGTTTCTACCCAAAGGCCAAAGAGGTCTATAACTGGCCATACACCTATAGATTATCTGCAGATTTCTATGGTCAGCCTCGCTGGCTGTCAAAATACCTGAGGAATCTCTTTGGATGAAGGCATTGTTCAGGTATTCTGACAGCCAGCGGGGGTGACTAGCAAGATACTGAAGCTTGGCACAGTGGGAGATTCCTCCATACACACAGTTTAGCGTAGATGGAGGAATCTGTTGCACATTTTCCATCTGACCACAGAAAATCTGCAGATAATTTATAGGTGTATGACCAGCTTAAGGATGGGTTTAAATTGCCCAATGTGTCTCATCTAAGCATTGTTGGCAAGAATGCGACGACATCAAGCACATCTGATTGTTGAAATGCTCGTTAACACAAAGGGAGATTTTTTATCTTGTTGGTAAGTGTTCTGTATTTGTAATGCAATCCAATCTCTGCCTTTTCTGTGTTAAAGGACAGTGCTTACATCATGATCAAATGTATGCATTCCGCTTTATGTCTGTGCCATTCAGTTTTTTTAAACCATCGGTTTTTTTTAAGCTGAACTCCAAGCAAACAGATAAACACAGTGGAAGTACTTCTGCAAATCTATTTCCCTTCTTGTGGCTTTCTATTTTTGCCCATCCAATCTTGAGATTTACACAACTGGGCTGGACAGCACAGCCAGACTGATGATCAGACTTTTCTCTGCTACAGTTAAAGCAGAACTAAAGTTGCACTTTCAAAAATTGCTAGTTAGAGTTTCCTGGCAAATGCAAAGTTTATTTTGCCAAAAAAAACAAAAAAAACTTCCTTCTGTGCTCCTAGCAATTTTTCTCCTACAACACGCTGTGCAGTGCACATCCCCAATCATTTTCGACATACAGAGAATAGAGCCGGGGAGGAGGCAACTCCTGCAAGCATGCCCAGGGAGTTTTGCTCTACTGCAGGAGTTGGTCGAAGTTCAATATGTTGAGCATCAGTCTTTTTTACAATATTAATAATTATGTAACAATAAAAATCAATCTAGAAAAAAACCTAGGCCTTACATTTTCTGGTTCCACACCAATATCTTCACAAAATTTTTCCATTCCTTCTGGGCCAACTACATCATCAGTTCCTGCAAAGGTAGAGAGAGCTACGTTATAAGACGTGTCCAGAAAAGTGAAAAACACATACCTGAGCATGTATAAGTGTATAAGTATTATATTTACATGTACAAAAAAACTAAAAATTCAACTAGCACAATGAAAGTGCAAGTTCATGAACTGTCTTAGAGAGGGCAGTGATTGGACACTGGCAAATTAAAACCTTCATGACCTAGGCCTTTTTTCATTTTTTGTTTACATTATATAATTCACATTTTAGGCTTGAAAACTACTTAAAACCCCAAAACATTATATATTTTCTGAAAGCCAAGACCCTACAGAATGAAATGGTGGCAGTTGCGAATTTTTATATTGCACGATATTAGCGCAACTCTTTATCAAACCCCAACATTTTGTGAAAAATGCACTTAAATGCCCCAAAACACAATAAAATACCAATTTTTGTTTATAAAAGATGAGGTTACAAAGAGTAAATAGATACCCAACATACCCAGGTTAAAAATTGTGTGCGTCCGTGAAACTGCAACAAAATTCAGTACCCCCAAAATCCAAAGATGACGCATTAAAAGCCCCTGCAGGTCATTAGTTTAGAGATACGTGTAAATATTGGCCCTAAAAATATTGCTCTCACTCTGGTGTGCGCGATACCCAACCCAATGTATAGCACGATGGTCGTTTTCATACGTAGGCACACCTGCCGCGTGTTTACATGAAGTCCGGGAGTCTGTTTAAGCGGGCCCATCACCGGTCATGAAGGGGTTATAGTAGTTAGGATGGAACTGTACAACCCCTCCCGCTCCCAGCCAAACTTAGTTTTGAAGCAAGCAGTACAAGTGTGGATCACAAAAAGAGGGGAGGGTCCTGCATCCAGTGATGCACTCCAAGAAACAGATTTTACAGATGATAAAAAAAATCCAGTTGTTTTCTTGATCGTACATCACAGTGCACAGGGTGTTAAGTCTTGCATGTATGGGGCGCCCAAAAGCAGTCCAACAGAGGGGCAGGCAACACAGCGAATATGTCCATGAAAACAACAATCAACCCCAATAGGTAACAAACAGAAAGGGTCTGCAATTTAGAGGGCCCCCAGAGAAGCCCAAACGTCCACCTGCTAAAACTTGGCAAAGGTACTAACAGAGGACGAGGTGGCAGCCTTTTAAATTTGGGAGACCGAAGTCTGACGCTGGAAGGTCCAAGAAGTAGCAACGCTCCTGTTAGAGTGAGCCTTTACAAGACAGAGGGGGAACTTTACCCTTTAACTCATAGGTCTGAGTAATCGTTTTGGCTGAATCCATCGAATGATAGTGGAACAAGTAGATGACTGCCCCATACAGGGACCCTCATAAATGAGGGAGTCAGACTTGCAGATGGAAGCAGTAGCAGTGGTAAACTTAAACAGAAAAAAAGAAAAAAACAGAGTCTGAGGCGCAGCTGCCCTTGGGGTTGGACAGGTGAGAAAATAGCGGGAGTTACCTGGGCTGGGGCATGCAGGGTTAATGCTGCCCGAGAGGCAATTCCGTTGATATTTTTCCCTCCGCGATGTATTAAGTATCAGGGGTGGAGGGAGAAGTAAGAAACAAAAAAGGTGCACATGAAATAGAGGCAAGTTGAGCGGTGTGTGGTGTGTATATCAACGACCGCCGTCGCTCGGCGGCGCCTGCACACCTCATCACCCATTTCAACCGCGTACAGAGAGCCACTGCCCGCACCGCAAGCTCTCTATCCCTCTCCAACACAGGACGCGATCGGCGTCCTCCACCCGCCAGCGAACCAAACCGCTTCCAACATAGGACGTGATCAACGTCCTCCATCCGCCACCAGACCAGATCCTCCAGCTCCGCCGGCACAGCGTGAAGGACGGGCCCACACCCGAGCCATCGCAACTCAGCCAGCAGTTCAGCTGCCCAGCAGCACGTCCCACACACAGGCACCCAAAGGAATCGCACCTCGACTCTGCAATCGAAGACCCTGCACCCAGTCCCAGAGGTGACCGCCGGACACTGCCTCCAACAGGAATCCCGTCGTCGATGACTACACTTCCTCAAGAACCTCACGGTGAGTCGATATACGCACCACACACCGCTCAACTTGCCTCTATTTCATGTGCACCTTTTTTGTTTCTTACTTCTCCCTCCACCCCTGATACTTAATACATCGCGGAGGGAAAAATATCAACGGAATTGCCTCTCGGGCAGCATTAACCCTGCATGCCCCAGCCCAGGTAACTCCCGCTATTTTCTCACCTGTCCAACCCCAAGGCAGCTGCGCCTCAGACTCTGTTTTTTTCTGTTTTGCACCCATACCAATTGGACACCCCGGTCCATATTGAACTGAAGCCGCGCGCCACCCCCACCTTTATACCATCCTCCTCCACACAGCCCCCACTTAACCAAACTAATACCGGAAAAGTTCTGAACAACACAGAACCACCCATCCCCCATCCCCCAGGAGAGCGCTGTCACACAGGACTTGAATCATTAATTTTTTCTATCGCAGTGGTAAACTTGCACAGCTTGAACCACTCCCAAACAGGGGAGAGACACTTTTTTAGGATGTTGTGGTGTAGGGCAGACATAAGGATGGTGGAAGGTTAAGGCGGTAGGCAGAAACCACCTTAGGTAAAAAGAGGTCTTAGGTCTCAGTACAGCCTTATCCTTGTGGATAACCAGAAAGAGGCCCAAGGTTTGTAGCTGTACTGGTCTCCTCGCTTAGTATTGGCTTTGGAGTAAGAAGTCTGGGAGAAGTGAAAAAGACTTGTTTTGGCTTCAGGGACAGGAGAAGATTTGCCATTTGAGACTTAGGCTACTTTTGCTGGGCTAGATAATTACTCTTACCACCAGTGATGTCCTTTATTAATTTAATTAAGTCCAGTCCACTATGGTCTGACAGACTGACATCACAGGTTTCGCATCGCATGGGCTGCTAGTGAAAATAAATATCTGGAAAGGACTTCCAAACGTTTGTCAGTGGGATCCTTAAACACTGACTCTTCCAGTCAGGTACAGTCAGTGTAGGTACAGTCAGTGTTTTATCAAGGTGGAATATGGCCAAACCTACAGTGAGAACCGCCCATTTCTTTAGAAAATACTCATGAAATGGATGACAAGAGTTTGTGAGGAGTAAATAGTAGGGATGCACCGATATATCGGCTGCCGAAAATTATCGTCCGAAAATGGCACTTTTGGCTCCCCTGATACTTAATACATCGCGGAGGGAAAAATATCAACGGAATTGCCTCTCGGGCAGCATTAACCCTGCATGCCCCAGCCCAGGTAACTCCCGCTATTTTCTCACCTGTCCAACCCCAAGGCAGCTGCGCCTCAGACTCTGTTTTTTTCTGTTTTGCACCCATACCAATTGGACACCCCGGTCCATATTGAACTGAAGCCGCGCGCCACCCCCACCTTTATACCATCCTCCTCCACACAGCCCCCACTTAACCAAACTAATACCGGAAAAGTTCTGAACAACACAGAACCACCCATCCCCCATCCCCCAGGAGAGCGCTGTCACACAGGACTTGAATCATTAATTTTTTCTATCGCAGTGGTAAACTTGCACAGCTTGAACCACTCCCAAACAGGGGAGAGACACTTTTTTAGGATGTTGTGGTGTAGGGCAGACATAAGGATGGTGGAAGGTTAAGGCGGTAGGCAGAAACCACCTTAGGTAAAAAGAGGTCTTAGGTCTCAGTACAGCCTTATCCTTGTGGATAACCAGAAAGAGGCCCAAGGTTTGTAGCTGTACTGGTCTCCTCGCTTAGTATTGGCTTTGGAGTAAGAAGTCTGGGAGAAGTGAAAAAGACTTGTTTTGGCTTCAGGGACAGGAGAAGATTTGCCATTTGAGACTTAGGCTACTTTTGCTGGGCTAGATAATTACTCTTACCACCAGTGATGTCCTTTATTAATTTAATTAAGTCCAGTCCACTATGGTCTGACAGACTGACATCACAGGTTTCGCATCGCATGGGCTGCTAGTGAAAATAAATATCTGGAAAGGACTTCCAAACGTTTGTCAGTGGGATCCTTAAACACTGACTCTTCCAGTCAGGTACAGTCAGTGTAGGTACAGTCAGTGTTTTATCAAGGTGGAATATGGCCAAACCTACAGTGAGAACCGCCCATTTCTTTAGAAAATACTCATGAAATGGATGACAAGAGTTTGTGAGGAGTAAATAGTAGGGATGCACCGATATATCGGCTGCCGAAAATTATCGTCCGAAAATGGCACTTTTGGCATAATGCCGAAAGTGTAATTTTCCTGCCGATACATCGGCGCATCCCAGGTTTCTTTCCTCCGCCCTGGGCGCTGCTCTGTGTCCCAGCGGGGAGGAGAGAAAGTGTGACAGCCTGCCGAGTGCTGCGGGAGGAGAGCGATGTGAGCGGCCGGAATCTCTCCTCCCACATCGTTCAGCCTCCTATCACAGTCCGGCAGAGTAATGTGTGGGCGGAGACAGTTTGCGCAGTCACAGGAGGCTGAGCTCTCCTCCATACACCGCTCGATCAGCCTCCTGTGACAGCGTTTCAGAGAGGAGAGCAAGGTACAAACACTCAGCAATCAGTGATCTCTGAGTGTTTGTACATAATTGAGGACATGGTATATTATATCCTCAATTATGAATGAATGGGAGTGATCTACATCACCCCCTGTTCATTCATAGTTGTAGTTATATTAACATACTCTGTCCTCATGTTATCAATGAACAGGAACACTCATAGAGGATTCCTGTTCATTGATAACAGGGGACACAGAAAAAGAGATTGACTCTGTGTTCTCAATCTCTTTTTCTATTTTAAAAGTGAAATATCAGGGGTCTGTTTAGAAGCCCCTAAAAAATAAAAATAAAAAAAATTTCGGTTTCGGTCTGACAATTTTTTTTATTTCGGTTTCGTTTCGGTTTTAAAATTTCCATTTCGGTGCACCTCTAGTAAATAGTTTGTCAGGAGTGTTCCAATCTCTGTACAGAACAGGTTGAAGCAAGGAATTTACCGGAAACGTTTTCATAGACTTTCAGACATCCCAGACCGGTAACAGCACTAGCAGAAGCCACAGGCTGTTTTATTTTAAATGTGGCTCACAAAGCATCAATAAGAGCTGATATGGTATCTAAGCCTGGGAGCTATTTCCTAGGGTTTAGCTATACTTAAGTGCACTTTTTCTAAAAAGGGCTGAACTTAGTCCCAATCTCATGAGTGTATCCTACTGGTCACTGTGGCTGACCATCAACTGCAAAATTTACAGGAAACATTGAGATTTGCCTATTATTCAACTGCCTGCATCTGTGAATCAAATGATTGCTTACGGTGTGCTGTTTTCAATTAAAATAAATTCTCTGTGTGCATTTTCCATCACATGTTCAGATGGAATTACATAGGGTGCGTGTAATAAAGCAGCTGAAAGTAACAGAGCACCAGAACATAACATAATACAAATGAGCAGACGTGGAGATGGGGCCTAAAATACAATTAGAACATGGGACAAACATCCAGATAACACACTATGACCTACCTGCATATTCATAGAACCATTCTAGGCATCTCTTGCTAGAGAAAGCTTCTTCCTCTGCTCTTATTCTGGAGGAATCATATTTTTTATACATCCTTAAAAGACAAATATATATACGTTATAGAAAATGACACTTCCATGTAGTATTCCATTTTTTTTAGTCATCCAGTTTTCCAAAAATAGATTATCTACATACAATTTAAATACGACTTATCAGTGGTTCCTATATTAGCAGAAGTTCCCACCTTAAAGTGTTCCATGTTTGCAGTTAAATTTCAGAACCCCCCACTGTTTTTTTGTTATGTGTTTTCATTCACACATGTTATTTAAAAGTACGTCAATGCCTTGAGATCTTGAGATGCCTTAAAGAAAGTCCTGCACATTTAGTTTACAACTGACAATGAAGACAGACAGGTTTAAATTGCCCAGCTCCCTCATAAACAGGGAGAACTAAACAGGATTTTTTAGCCCTGAGTGTTCCAGCAAAAAGGCATCTAAAAAAGGCAAGCTGCAATGTTTTAATATTTGTTAAAGTTATGCTACTGTATGTAAATGGGAACATGTAACAAATATAAAGTAGTTGTTATCCCAATTTGGCTGCAAATGTGGAAATACACTTAAAACTGGATTCCAGCCTAGAGACCCCCTGACTAAAGTTTATTAGTTAAGACATTTTGTCACACCATGAGATCATTAGATTTAACAAACCTAAAAAGAAACAAGTCCTGCTGAATCAAAACATAACATTGGTAAGAAAAGGGAAATGCACGAGAATATGTGCAAAGAAAAAACATCTCAGTATAGTCATAAGACTTGAAATCTCAATTAATGTCACATAAAAAGATATGCTGTCAATTAGACATTGTAATAACAACCTCCATTCTCATATTTCGCAGGGTGCCTTAACATAACTATTCAGTCCATAGTTGCATATTTACAACTATGCACTATAGTCCTATATGGGCCCCAGAGTTAGACCTACTGCACTCAGTAATCTGACAGACCTGACCTAACATATCCCCCTCTCTTCCTCTGCAAACAAGTAAGTCTATGTGCTGAGGGTTGTGGCCGTTTCTTAGCTATGCCAGCAAAGAAGACTACAGTGCGGCAGCAAGAAGAAGCATTTTCATGCAGAAAAACTTATTTTAAAACATTTAGCAGTACAAATAATTGACTCATCATAAGATGTATGTACAGGACTATAAAGTGATTAAAAAAAAATGTGAAACTTGGGGAACAAACGAGTCTGTTATTGGAGAAACGGGGGTAAGCTGCTATATATAATAAATGCAGGTTCAGTTTGCCCTTCCCTTTTACTATTAAAATGGTGAATTGTGCTCTTCAAAATATATGCAAGCACTTGACACAGTGTAGCCAAATACCCCTCCAGGGTGAATCAGCATACAAATCACCATCCACAAAGAGTAAATAGCTATGTGTCTGCCAATAACTAGACCTCTTACATGAAACTAAAAATCACATGTATTTGGCTGAGACTATGCTTATACCAGTGATATAGTCATATGTGTAAATTCAATTGTTCACATTTTCTAGGGAAAATGTTCAAGTTAAATACATACAAATAATCAGTTCTGATCTCTATTACCAGCCACACATGTATAAAATCAACAGAAAGGTCTTACTGTAACAGAACAATTACAGAAGCAATGCCCTCAACAGCAAATAAACTTCCTCTGTTAATGTATACACTATTTCCATTCAGTGGTTGCATGCCAGCTTCTGTGAGGCCTTAGCTGGCAGAAGTGTATACGTGTCACCTAGGTTGCTCACTTACATGGCGTGGGGCTCCTGTGTTTATGCTATGGAGGAAACAAACATAGTTTTCTCAGATCTTTAATTTCTGGGCAGTCTCCAGTCCTATGTCCACATTTGACCTGTTAGTCAGACATCATTATTAATATCATCTGTCCACAGGCCATTATTAAAAGGAAACTTCTGTGTTACTATAGTGGCGTGGAGGAAGGAATCTCCCGCTGTGTACATTGTATTCTTACAGCAGTTCCATCTGAAATTCGCTCCCTGCGTACTATAATGATAAAATACAAGTTGAAAAATATTATATTGCCCTATCAACATACACTCATTTCTTCCCACCCCAATTTGTCCTTGTCTTTCATTTTATTGGATTCTGTTATATCTGGAACATGTTATTTTTAGTACAAATTCATAAATATCTACACTTTCTTTACTTTCTTATATTTATATTATACTAATTTGCGTCAATGGAAAAACAATAAATGGACTAAATTCCAACCTACGGATTCATGAGGTGAAGTATTTTTATTTCGAGCTCAGTGGTCTACCATAACTAACAACCAGGAACCACAAAGTCATTCAAGCAATAAAATGAACCACAGGACTCGAGTATGAGTCAACATGATTATCAACTAAATATCATTTGCTGATGTGCTGATGTACACGCTCTTATAGTGTAACATCTGATCATACCTCTATTAAACACAAAATGAAATATATTGAAACCAGAAGATAAAATGCTGTAACGTACCCGTCATGTCTACTTTTCTTAGCTAGCAGGTCATCTCCTGCTGCAGGTCTCCTCTTTTTCCTTGGTGGCATAGTCTTAGTGAAGCAGTCTGAAGTGCTGCACGAACGCAGACTCCCTAAAGAAATAAATTAATTTGTATAAATAGACCAAGGAAAGGTTCACATATAGCAAGTATTACATTTCTCTTCTATAATTATCAGACCTCTGAGATCTGCTGTACTGGTACTACACAGAAGACAAGACCGGGGTAGATGACAAATCTATGGGGCTCAGTTAAAAAACTGATGCAAGAAGGAAAAATATGGAGAATGCCCACAGCAACCAATCGGGTTTTATCTTGTATTGGGAACCAGTGAAATAAAATAAAGACTCCATATCAAACATTAACAGTTGCACTTTGCTTCAGTTTTCAGAAAGAAGTCTCTCTAAATGCTAACCCACACCAGACACAAGCCTACGGCAAGACATCTGCATCTAGCATGCGTTGCAGATTCCTTATACAAATGTCAACATTCCTTTCTGTGGAAGCGGTGTTTGCTAGGAACCACATCAATGATGCAATCAGCAGATTTTTTTTTGCAATGCACAACACTGAAACACCTTTAAGCCTGGTTCACACCTAGTCGTTTTTGAGCAGTTGAAAAAGCACTTCAAAACGCCCAACACAAGAAATCTCATGATTTTCAATGACACCTGAGCAGCAACACGCCAGCAGAAAAACGCCAAACACAGAAACAAGCACATGAGCTTGTTTTTCCTGCATAGATTTTAATGGAAGCGCCAGGAAATGCGCGCGGTTTTGCTCGTTTGTACGTGCGTTCATCTATTGACCACAATGTTTCTTGAGCTGCCAGTCAAAGCAAGCGTCTTTATGTGCGTGCATGCGTTTTCACGCATGTAAAAATGTACCATACACGCATAAACGTGCAAAAAGACACTAGCTGAACACGAGTGTTCAAACGTGCAAAACTGATGCCATCTTGGTCACGATCTCAAATGTCACAATCTCAAGAAGAGTTGAAAGTGACTTAGTTTTACTGAGAGAAGCAATGAGCATGTAAGGCTTAATGTACAACTAAAGGCTCATGTATGCCATTGCCTTCTGATATGGAGCCAAATCCTCCTTCATTTGTGTCTCACATGCCCCATCCTGCCAGGACAATACCGATAGCCCCGCCCCTGTAACAACTTCTCATCCCACTGTAGTGCAAGCAGGTACAGGTGACAAATCTGCTCTGAATTGAAGAGCAGTGCAGCATCATCGCCATGGTCTAAGAATACTGTAAGTGCAAATGCACTTAAACTGAAGTGCTGTTGCACATTTTTTAAATGGGAGGCCATCATTCCTTTGCTCCTTTGAAGTAAAAATAAAAGCTACCTGTTTGGTGATCGTCTTGGCCCACGTCTTCAGTCAGATTCTGTAAAAAAGAAAAAAAAGAAAAAAAAAGAAGGATCAGATAGGCACAAACTGGATACTGTGAAACACTCGCCTTCCTAAAGTTACTTTCACATAATCAGTAGTACCACAGATATTCCCCCTGAATATATTGGTCAATGTGTCCTTTTACAACATAAGGAACGACCTAAGTGCACTTTTTACATAGCACAACTCTGTGGTAAAGCCTAAAGTCAAAGTTCACCTCTCAATTGAGGAGAGCTTCTTTCCATTTGAACTTTGCATGAGAAGTGAAGAAAATCTGTCTACTTCAGTGCTACACTACCAATTTACGCAAAGAGTCAGGTCTGTGAGGATGGAAATTGCTGCTGCAGCCCTTTTTTCGCAGGCTTGCACTTACAATAAAAGCTGAATGGTATTGCACAAGCTACATAAGCATTTGACACTCATGTAGTAAGTGCAAATGTCATCCAGAATGGCCAATGTGTTCCCTAACACCTAGGGGGTAATGGGGATCCTTTTACTTTACATCTTCACTTCATTTTTGTGTGTTTTCATGTGCCTTTCTTACTGTGGACTGGATCCAATTGAGGCAACATGATTCAGCATCCTGAAAACTGCAACTAGAAATCTGATGCCCAGGCTGAGAAAAATATGAAATCACAATAGCGTGAAGTTTACCGACATAGCAAAACAGAAACTACATACTCTAGTACACACTTGTACACTTGAGGACCACCAACATCAACTACAGAGCTGATAGGTTAATCGAAGAGACGCAGTGGGGCTGTCAACACCCATGCAATCATAGGTGACAATGAAAAATCTGTTTGTTGAGCCCCCCTTACAAAAACCTGCATATCAAAAGGATCCTCAACACAAATGTGGGCAACAAATAATTCTGGTAAACAAAAACAAAGTACCGGTAGCATTTTTTTTTGTGGAGACGACCCTCATTTCATAAAAGTGTGAACTGCATAATATCAGGATCTGCTTTAGGCCAGTGTAAACCATAAATTGATACCATTTAATAACTAAAAAGCAAACCTGACACTATATATTCATAGTTGTATGTGTAGAGATGGGCGACTTTCCCATTTGGTTGTAGATGACTAACCTAAATGAGATTATGGAGTAAAAAATAACAGTAAATCATAATAAAGTAAGATAATATGCATGCAGACAGTAATAAGTAGTCTGCATCTTGCAATATAAGAAGCCTTGCCCTTTCACGCTTGTGGAGACACACTTACTGTTACATTAGTTTTACATAAACAAATACTAAACTGAAATGACACAAAACTTCATCTAGTTAACCGAACATTATGCTACTTACAGTATGGACTGCAGCTTCAAGGAGAAGTATTGAGAGAGTAAAATATACTCTTCCCAACACTTCAAGCCAGTGTGAGACACTGCAGCTGTCACACGCCGCCTCTAAAACTGATCACAAACCACTATTCTCTCTGCAAAGAGTACTGCCTGTCAGTCATGGCTCCCCGCAGGGATTCTTCCTTCCCCTCTCCGTTCCTCATTGGAAGGACAGACAAAAGAGGGGGTGGGTACAGCTGGCCCTAGAGAGGCAGAGCCAGCTGTCAATCAGGCAGTGGGGTGTTAGGATCCTTCATGGCTGCTGCGTGCCTCTGCAGTGTCAGCATATAGCAGGCAGTAGCCCCCTATATGCTGACTTTGGGTCGCATTAGTAAATATGCTCCTGTGACCCAAAAGAGAAGTAAAGCCAAAAAAGGTTTGACTTTACTTCTCTTAAGTCTATTTGCTCCACAAATTCTATTTTATTTCTTTACTGCTGCGGATATTTTAGCAATTTAGACACACACCAATAAATAGAATTCTTATTTCCAGATAATATTCTATATAATTCTATTTCATTACCAGCCTATTGAGCGTGTGATATATCTTGTGAATATTTGCCAGTGTTGATAGATGAGAGTTCAGCTGAAAATCTGAAATTACATCAGAAAAAAAAATTACACAATACTCATATTAAATTACAAACTGCATTTGCCATGGATACAATGTTTCCCTTCATTCAAAGAATCAGGTAATGACAAAAGTATGGTGCTTACCCACTGTGAACCTGAAAATGCTAGTTGCCCGAATCCGTCTGGTGTCAATACTTTGAGTCACTACCCTGGGACAAGTGAAGGATGCAATAGATGATATTGAGAAAAACTCAGAATTCCCTACAGAATCCCTCAAAGATGAAGGTCGAGACTTACTGTGTTTCAAACCAACTGTGCAGAGCCAGCTTCCATCACACAAGCCAACTCTCCCCCCCAGGACAGGACAGGATATTTTGGTGTGTGGAGGCATGTTGAGGACCCACAGAGCAAGTAATACGTGTTGATGCATCAAGCAGTGCAAATCAATCTGTGTGTGATGACACTTGTGGATAGGAGTGATTGGGCTCTCACCCTCTCCTCCAGGCTTCATTTTGTGAATGGCCAGAAGAGGGAGATGGGGACATGACAATAGCACTGGGGTCTACATGATCTGCAGTACTTACAACCGAGTGGGCCAGAAGTACAGCGGGAGCCATAACCCACCGGGCATGTAACCAGGAGTTCTATTAATGTAGCAGGGGCGATTTTTGTAAGTAACAGACTTAGTAACTGCTTGAACACTTTTTTGTGCCCCAAGTTCAGCTTTACCTTTTTTACAATACAATTGCTTTTTTCTAATTAACATGTAATACGTGACAAAGGATCGAGAGCACTGTGGATTAGCTAAAGGAACAGTAATGCCTTAATGATCTAGTTTGTTGGTATGATACTTTGGACTTAGTCTTCCAAAACCAGCCTTCTATACATCAGTCATCAACTGTAAAGAATCCTCAGCCACCTCCATCCTGAATCCAGGTGCCATCTTAGTATTACCGATTCTCAAGAGCCTGCAGGTTCTTCACATTTGACACCGGCCCATAAATGTGCTCATTGGAAGTCGCGTGACATCATTATGAACCTGCACTGTTGTTACATGGTACTTGGTCTGGAACTAGTGTGCAGTTAACTTGTCAATCCATTTTTACCTGATATTTCTGTTTATGGTAAACGCTGCACAGTTATTCCACTTATTTGTTACAGCTCATAGGGACTCTGTTTGTGAGGTTCCTGCACACCATCCCTGTTGGATTTTATTTCTTTTAAAAGGATAAAACAGGAAGAGTAATAACATCCAAAACTATAAAAAGGGACAGGAAAAGAGGATGAACAAAAGAGGAACCTTTCATTGAATCCCAAGAGATGCCTGGTCTCCTGACTATACTTTAACTGAAATCCCTTTTGGGTGGAGTGACTCTTTTTTAACACCCTGCTTGCCCATGCACTACAGGCCTTTAAGACTTCAAACTTTCAAAAATACCTTCCAACGGCAACTGCTATCATTAAGTAGTGTCCTGTCACCTTGTGGTGTGAACGAGGCACATAGAAAACAATTGTTTTCTATGTGCCCTGGGAAGGACTAGCGTAGATAAGTTGCTAAAAAATGCCAGTCACCACTAATGGCGTGAATGAGCCCTTGCTGCAGCTAAAAGGCTAGCCCAGGGGTCTCAAACTCAATTAACTTGGGGGCCACTGGACAAAGTTTCCGTTTGCGAAATGTAATAACATTTTATACTTCAAAATAAAATTGAACTATAAATGGTACCAGTGTTAATGTCTGCGTGTGTCTATAATGTCAGTGTATGTGTTTGTGATGGTCTGTGTGTGTGTGTGTGTGTGTGTGTGTGTATGTGTATTGTTTGTCAGGATTTCAGTGCGTAATGTCAGTATGTGTGTTAATGTTTCTGTGTGTGTCATATCAGTATGTATACATGTGTATATCTGTTGTGTTTTTCCCCATTGGTTTTAACGTTAATCATAGAGAACCAACATATTCACGCGCACACACAAAAAATTTGAACACGTCCTTCACACACATACCATATTATACAATAACACACATACCCCCCATACACACAGAAATACACATACATGCCTTCTTAAAATAAAAGAAAGAGCCCCCTCACCTACTTACATTCTTGCAGGGAGGGGGGCACATTCCTTGGTGGTCCAGTGGTTGATTAATACAGTCTGCACCTTTGGCTGGTGCAGACTAGGGATGCACCGATATATCAGTCGAAAATTGCACTTTTGGCTAAATGCCGAAAGTGCCATTTTCCTGCCGATACATTGGCACATCACAGGTTTCTCTCCTCCCCGCTGGGCGCTGCTCTGTGTCCCAGCGGGAAGGAGAGAAAGTGACAGCCAGCCGAGCGCTGTGAGCGGTCGGTGTCTCTCCTCCCACACCGCTCAGCCGCCTATCACAGTGCGGCAGGGCGGTGTGGGGGCGGAGACAGTGCTGCCTCTTGCACCGATCACTCAGCCTCCTGTGACAGCGTGTCAGGATGGAGAGCAGGCTACAAACACTCAGCAATCAGTGATCTCTGAGTGTTTGTAGATAATTGAGGACATGGTATGTGAATTATATCCTCAATTATGAATGATTGGGAGTAATCTAGGGCTGCAACAACTAATCGACATAATCGATTATAATCGATTATTGAAAAAGTTGTCAACTTTTTCAATAATCGATTAATCGGCTTCCGATCAGTTGGCCCTGTTCACGGCTCCACACACGCTGCACCTCTTCCCCAA